CACACTGGTCCGATGATCACAGAGCAAGAGACAAGAAAGGCGAGACTCACCAAGGCATTTATCTCTCTGCCCTTCAGTTAATCCCACTTGTGTTTATGGGCCAGGCTGGCACAATAAACTATCTCAACTATCCAGTTGATTCTGAGAGATAGCGACCCTATCGGGCATGGTATAACTGCCACTGCCAAAGCTCTCATTGTCGTAGAAGCAGTCTGCCACGCCTTTTCCTGAGGAACAGCTGGGGACTGCGAACTGCCCAGGTTTGGGCTAGCAGTCAAGTGCCTAAAGATGTCACTGTCTGGGCTCCAGGGAAGGTGCTTAGGCAGAATGCATTCACCTAAATAGAGGACTTCTTTCGTTCTTATTCAGAACTATCTGTAAGGTTCCAAATAAAGTCCTCTATAAAGGGACTTGGGATGTTTAGGGTTATAACACAAAAAATAATTATATCTGCAGATGAAATGTAAATTAATTTCAGGGGGGAGGTGGGAAATGCCTAGATGCTGATACCTAAGGGCCTAATATGCTATTTAGATATCAATAAAACATTTCCTCTGGTTATGTGTGAAGCACAATTATATAAGGAACTGTGTGGAAGTTATGTTTACTAGTTGATCCAATAATCTTTTAGGTTACCTGAAGGTGACTAGGAACGGGTGACAAAAGTCAGTCATAGCTTCCCCCTCCAAAGTCCACTCATGTCCTATGCAGACGTATGTTAAGCAATTATCAGATTCACTCGTGTAGGTTTTTTTAATGTATATGCCCTAGTCATCCACCATGAAATTCTGATTTAATGGGTTTTTTTAATCATTTGATTTAATGGGTTTTAAATAGAACCTAGATATGTGTGTTGTCACAAAGGTCCATCGAAGATTCTGGGTGTTCACTGGAGAAACACAGAAACCAGAAGCTCTGCCCTGAGGAAGAGCCCCTCCTACCTGCCACATTATAGTCTGAACCTTGCTACTCAAAGTGTAGCCCAAACCAGAACCATACGCATCACCTGGGAACTTATTATAAAAGCAGCCTCCCAAGATACCCCCCATCAGCCCTACTGAGCCAGAATCTGCTTTTTAATAAGATTCTCAAATGACTCATTTTCACATTAAAGATTGAGAATTAGTTAAGGAATTACTCATATTTTGATACCCTTTCTATCAAAGACTGTTTCAAAATTTATACTTGCAATCAGCAGGTATAAATGAAAGATTATTTTGTAAACTCTTCTCATTAAAACTGAAAAAGAAAAAAAACTGAAAAGGAAAAGACATATATAAGTGGATGAAAATTACATATTGCATATTACTGTAAACAAAAAAATTGCAGAGAGTGACCATACTCTATTCTTACCAATTGCAGTGACCTGCACTCTTTCACTACCACTCACTGTCTCAGGAGGAAAGGAGAAGCTCAAAGTTTTTGGGGTGTTTTTCAGTTTGTTGTCGGTCAAGTCTAATAAGATGGATTGTGAATATGATTTTTCTATTCCTTCAGCCTGTCAAAAACAAGGAACACAATTAGCCTGGTTTCGACAGCCTATTTACAGAGCTATCTATAGTCCTGAGAGCAAGCAAGCTGTGACTGAAGTGGGTGGATAGATAGGTAAAAACAAACTGAACACACTGCCACTGAGCCAGGACTGACTAACAGCGACTCGCGGGCGAAGCAGAACAGTCCCTGTGGCTTTCTGAGACGGTCGCTGCTGATGGGAGTGGAAAGGTCCCGTCTCTCTCCTGTGGCTAGAAAAGAACCTACCGTTTCTTGATTCTTAATTCAAACTTGTTAATACTTTTTCTTAGTCAGACAAAACCTTCCCTGAACTAGCAGTGCAAATGATAGAGAAGAAGATGAAGAGTGATGGGGTGGGTTCCATTATTACCCAGAGGGACGAAATGCCTTGCCCCAAATCGCATTTGTCAGGGCTGGGATTCGAACCAGGGGCTATCTCACTGCAAAACCCAAATCTTCACCCCTTATGTTGAACTACCTTTTACACAAAATGTCTTCTTTGGAACACCCTGAAAAGTGTCTTCTACCTGCACTGAGGAGTCTCAAAATATTTAATCTACATATTAACTTGACCATGATGTAGTCAGATCCCATGAAGGCTGTTTATAAAGGACTATAAAAGAGATTTGTTTTATAATCATACTCTGAATAAACTTAACGGGGAAATTGTCAATTATTTCTAAAACATCTTCATATAAGGGAACTTCAAAAAGTTCAACTGAAAGTTCTATTGCCTTTTTTCCCCCAAAATCATTTTATTAGGACAAGATTCAGACATCCCATCATCCAGTAGTTCAGTCATATGAAGCAGAGCTGTACAATCACTATCACAATCATTTTCTTTTTTTTTTTAATTATATATTGTGAAATATTTCTTTCTTTCTTTTTTTTTTTTAACATTTTATTAGGGGCTCATACAACTGTTATCCCAATCCATACACACATCAATTGTATCACAATCATTTTCAAAGCCATTTCTTCCTCCTTGCACTCCTTGATCTCAGCTCCCGATCACCCCTCCCTTCCCTGCCAGAAACCCCAGGAACCCTAATTCTAGTTATTGTCTCTGTAGATTCACTCTTTTATCTTTTCAACCCATTGTTCCAAAACCTTTATGAAGCCCTCTCTTCGGTGATGTGTATCTACAAACAGATGAGAGAACAATGATGTATTACCAAGAAGATGGAGAGACACTCCACTAGGTCTTATCAGTAAATTTAACCTAAAAGAAAACCACCTTTTGCTTCCTTGTTTAATTATGTATCTCATTTGATTTACTTAAGATTTCAAAGATGTACCTTTACTAAAATATTCTGGGTGACAGCATCAGAAGCTGTGGGTGAGACTGCTTTGACTATGATAGGAATCTCTCCCAGGTGTGTTGGTTTGATTGGGAAAATTACAGTTGTTCCATCCTCTTGGGGAGCCAGTATGGTCTGCTGGAGCCGTGTGGCATTTACTTCATTTGAAGAACCTAGGATTTCGAATTTGTCACTTTCCTCGATGATTACCTTAACCTAGAAGAAGAAGAAAAAGTATCATGGGCTTTAGAGAATAAGTGCTTCCACTAAAGTGTTGCCTGAACACCGCTTGAATGCTACTGAAACTGTGAGGTCCAAGAGTAGCAAAAAAACCCAGACAAGATGCAGCCAATGAGAGGGGAAAACGGATATACCAAGGGGGGAAAAGTATGTTTTTTCTATTCCATTGTGAAATATTTAGCGATAGGGCACCCTTCGGTTCCATTTCTAGCCTTTCCACTAATATTACATTTTCTGTCATGATCCTAAGGATGAGTACAGCATAGATATCTCAAATATTGTTATTGCCACAGCCTGATTTAACTCTGTCATCCTGAGACGCTGATTCCATTAGAAAAATCAGAGACAAACAGATTGAAATGTTATTACATTCATTGAGGATGTCTGCTAAAATGATTCCTAAGAAAGTATGACTCAAACATTAGTCCTGAGCTGTATCTTGGCTGTGAACTTTTATAAATTATGACAAGGTTGCTAGTCTCATCAATAATTGCCTTTCTCTAGACATTTAGAACTTTATGAATTATTTTAATATATATATCTTAAATTTTTATTTTCTCACATGGTCCTCAAATACATATTATAGCGATAATAATTGTGACTCCCATTTCACAGCTGGAGAAATGGAGATGACATTGCTGCTGGTAAGTTGTAGAGTTGAAAACCAGATCCTGGCTCTCTGACTTTACATCTGTTTCTGTTCTTTACGTGGTACTGTGTGGGTTTGATTTTTAAAAATAATAATAATAACTAAAATATGAGACAACTTACTTCATCAGCATAGAGCTTAAAGAGATTGTGGCATTTTTATTTAATAAAATCAATTACCTATCTCTACCAAATCAAGCATTTGGTTAACCCTGATATGGGCACCATCCAGACAATAGCCAGACCCCTGACTTCCAGGGAAAGGAATATGATTCAAACAACAAATCTTTGACAGCATAATATACTGCATAAACCTGGGGCCGACCAGCAGCACAGAATGGGTGAGAAACCCCTGGAAATATTTCTTTTGAGTCAGGTCTTGAAGGGGACTGATTTGGACAATGGCAGCGGTATGCAAAGGCAGTGATAAAGTTGCAATGCATGCTAGTTGTGGGGATGAGGGGGAGAAGGTACAGGGGCAGGAAAGAGAAATGCATGCCCCAGAGATGATAAGGGTGTAACATAGATAAAAACGAAGACCCAGGACTGACAATTACACGAGAATTAACTTAGACATGCTAATAGTATCTGTAGACATAATGAACTGATAAAATTACTGACAAAGAAAGTCTATTTTCAATCTCCCAGAAATGCATAAAATGCTTTCATGCCCATATATCCAACCACTGCACAACTCAGTCCCTACATAACCAAAGCAAAACCAAATTTACTGCCACTGAGTCAAAGCTGACTCATAGTCCTCCGTGGCTTTCCAAACCTGTAACTGTTTATGGGAGTAGAAAGCCCAGACTTTCTCCTGCAGAGATAATGGTGGTTTCAAACTGGCAATCATGCAGATCACAGCCCAGTTACTAACCGTTACACCACCAGGGCTCCTTAACCCTGACATGAGAAAATGTAAATTATTAACAAAAGCTTGGATATATTACCTCCATGGCTTCTTTCAAATAATTGAATACGGTGACTTCCAAAGCAAAGGCTTCACCTCGAATAACCGAGTAGGGAAGATTCAAAAAAATAAAAAATGGTTGGAAGGCTTGCAGCTGAAAAAAATACAAGAGTACATAGTGTCATGCAGGTCAAAAAGGCTTTGCCTTTTATGCAGCTAAAAATAAACCTCACCAAACCTGTGAAGCCCATTACTTCACCTAGAAATGCCCACTTTCCTATAAAGAGAAAACAGGAGTTTATCCTAACAGAATAATAATAAACTGATGTAATAATAAGGACTACATTTTATTATAAATAATAATAATAAATTGATGTAATGATAAGGACTACATTTGCCTACACTGTAGACAAGGTACCTTATAGAATCATCTCATTTAATCATTGCAGGCTGGTGGGCCAGGTATTATGCTCCTAGCTTAAAGAAAATAAAACTGAAGCTTGGAGATCTCTGTCACATGTGTACGGTCACATAGCTGATCAGTAGAAAAGCCGAGCCAAGGTTCTTTCTACTAAGCTATACTGAGTTTCTACGGTGCTCTCTTGCTACAACAGTCTGTTTCAAAAAGAGAGTTTTGGGTTTGTATCTCACCACTGCCGGGATCAGGTTCCTTAAAAATAATAAAATAAAATTTTAAAAGAGAGAGAGAACATTTCAAATCTGACAGAGATGAGATCCATGGATGTAAAGCATTCTAAACCAGGAACTATTTCGTTTGACCAGCTTAGGCGAAAATATGCAACACAATTTAACCAAAGAACTGTGGATGAATTTCTACTAAGCAGAAATCTCGAGACGGTCTATGCATCCTTGGAGAGGGGCTGGCTAAAAGCACACTTTCTCTTTGGTATTTTGGAAGTGCTTGGATAATAAACGTTTCTATTCAAATCCTAATATAAAACTAGTACACTCAGTAGGTTAATGCAGAAGGGCAAAATGAAAAACTCTCAAACTGTGGTCAACATTCTATGCAATCTTGTTTTTCTTTTTAATCCAAGGAAGAGTTGACATTTTCTTAAGTTTATACACAGTCCTGGAATCGACTACCTCCACGGGAGCATTGGTCAGCCCAAGACCTAGGTCCTCCGAGATCACAAAAGCTGTAGCCACCCAAGAAGTGATAGTATCAGGTACAGTAACTTCAAATTCCTGGTAAATTTTGGAACTGAAATAAAGATAAACCAAAAAAAAAATAAATAAATAAATAAATGGTAAAACTAGCTCTAATGCTTTTCAAAATAAATCAACACCATTTACAACATTTGTGGGAGAATCTTAATTTTCTAATCCATTTATATATCTAAATTTAAAACTATTACAAATAAATAAGTATGAAACAGTAGATCCCAAGGTCTTGAGATTGAGGTCAAAACACTGTAGACTGAATCATATCCCAAGAAAATCTTTCTGCAGCTTGCTAACATTTTCAAGACGAGCATTTTGATAACGTCTACGTAAACGCCTCCAGTCAAGGTGAACGGAATGCTTTCTCTAATTTCACACGTCTTCCCCCTCGGCATACCTGTCGGTGTCAGTAGGTTTGTTTGGTTGGGTTTTTCAGGTTGGACTTTTGGTTTGTTTTCCTAACTACAGGCAGTCCCCTGATTAGAAGCAAGTTCTCTTCCTCAAATTGAATTTGCACATCAGTCAGAATAGCAATGCACAGTTCATCTAACATCAGTCTGTCTTAACATGTGGTAGACCATGTCCTTTTCTACATATACAAACCAGGGGAGGGTGGGGGGGTAAGCACTTCCAGAAACAGATATGCCCTGCTTCTTTAAGGTTTGCTTTATGTCCCTTCCCTTTTACAAAAGACCTGTATCCTATCTGTTTTCACAAACTGAAAGTACCCTGAAGAGGTTATTCACCTTTCAAAAACACCAAGGTGGAAACACTAACTAGCAGTCAGCATGTTTTGCGGTGAGCCCTGAACGAAGCCTCACGCATCGTGAGCAGCCAGAGGGTCACCAAGCTCCTTCTTGGACAACTACACCCAGCAGCTCAGCACCAAAGCACCCTCACTTTGCGCTGTCTGAACACCGTACATTCATGTTATTTAGGTCCTATGTGTTATTTTGACATGATTTGGCAGGTGATTTTTTTGGTCTGGGCATGCTCAAAAATGTTTCCCATACAAATATGAGGAGTGATTCCTCCTTCATTTGGTGCTATTTTGGTTTATATGAGCTTTCACGGAAGCACTCAGCTTTCAGATAGCAAGGTCCCGGTACACTGCACCATCTTTAACAAAATAATAATAGTATTTTGGTGTGTTCATTAAAAAGCATCAGTTTATTATTATAAACCACTGGCTGCACCTTGAATCTGTAATATAACATAATACCATAACATAAGAGACTTTGCGAGGCGGGTTTGTAACTACAGACTGCCTGTACTGCGCGCATGCGGTGCGTGATTCACCGGGCAAGCAGCACTAGGACTGTCAGCTCAGCTGAATTCCTCTTCCCACCCACGTCCCTTCTCCCTGCGGCTCGGAGGGATGGGGCTGACGAGGAGTGGGATTCGTTTAAAAGCAGCGCCACCAGATAGCGGGACATAATTCTGAGGGCTTTCCAACGCAAGACAACAAATAAACCACAGACCCTTTTCTCCCTAGAAACCATGAGACTTTAATGAAAAGTCGCCTTTCATGGGAAAAAGATCAGCGCCTGAGACCATGTTAATGTCATTTCCTCGTTGACAATACCTCCTCGCCCACAATTCGCATATGGCTCTGTTACATAATACATCAAAATATGACAAAGACCCTTCTAAATTAAAACAAAACCTTCATTGTCTACGTAGGTCAAACTGTGCTTGTACAGAAGGTGAAAGAAAGCGCACAGGCAGCGAGAGCACACACACTAAGTCGGAAGCAGGGAGCTCGCACACGTTTACCCCATGTCGGCGTCTAGCCAGATCCAAGTCTCTGGAAAATGCTTCCTGACACGTGGGCTGTTCTCGGAAGAAAGTTCCTGAGAATATAGGACGTCGTAACTGCCACTCTCCTCCACAAACCTCTCGGCCACCTCGGGGTTGTCATCTGAAAAGAAGCATTGGCAGTGGCTAGACAAAAAGAAGTCACTGGAGTTTAAAACAGATCGCGGACACAGAAACGCAGCGCGCTCTGCTGAGCGGCCTTGGGGCAACCTGATCCAGGCCCTCATTTTAGAGGAGAAACCTGAGACCCAGAAATAAAAATGCTTCTCTCCCAACAAAGAATAACTGGAAAAGGGCTTACAGTTCAGTTGCTAAAAGAAACTTTAATTTCAAATCGTGTTGTTAAAGCAGCCTACAACCCTACTACGCTTCTCTTTCTAGCTCGGGGGACTGCAGCTCATTCGCTACATCAGCTGACACAAGTTATCATCACGGAGCTCATTAACTTTTTCTCACCGAAAAAACGCCGCTGCCATAAACACTTCTGTGCATCCTTTTTCCCTCGACTTTTCTGAAAGTCTCTCAAATTAAAATACAAATAATATATATAGCGTCATAAATATCAGTGCTACCAAGATGAATACAATGAATTCATTGATAAGTCCAGCAAAGAGGCAGATACACAGAAAATTGTAATAAACCTGACATGGGTGAGGACAGACATGCATAACGGCATACCGGGCGGCCAACAGTTGGTTTTGCACAGAAACTGAATGGTAACTGAGGCTCTGACAAAGAGAAACCAATCAGACTGGACATTCCATTTTGCACCATCTGTTCAGTCTCCAGATAAACAATATCCCATTCAGGAAGGTCTTTTTTCCCCCCTTTATAAAATCACTTTATTGGAGGCTTGTACAACTCTTATCACAATGCATCCATACTTCCATTGTGTCAAGCACGTTTGTACACGTGTTGCCATCATCAGTATGGTATCAGCTCCTTATTTTTTCCCCTCCTTCCCTCCCTCACAAACCCTTGATAATTTATAAATTATTTATTATTTTGTCATGTCTTACAATGTCCAACATCTCCCTTCACCCACTTTTCTGTTGTCCATTGCCCAGGGAGGGGGTTATATGTAGATCCTTGTGATCAGTTCCCCCTTTCTACCCCACCTTCCCCTTCCCCTCCTGGTATTCACTACTCTCATTATTGGTCCTGAGTGGGTTTATCTGTCCTGGATTCCCTGTGTTTCCAGTTCCTACCTATACCAGTCTACATCCTCTGGCCTAGCCAGATCTGTAAGGTAGAATTGGGATCATGATAGTGGGGGGGAGGAAGCATTAAAGAACTAGAGGAAAGTTGTATGTTTCGTCGTTGCTATACTGAACCCTAACTGGCTCATCTCCTCCCCACGGCCCTTCTGTAAGGGGGTGTCCAGTTGCCTACAGATGGGCTTTGGGTCTCCACTCCGTGCCCCTACTTCTCCCACCATTCACATTGGATATGATTTTGTTCTTGTTCTTTGATGCCTGATACCTGATCCCATTGACACCTCGTGATCACCCAGGCTGGTATGCTTCTTCCATGTGGGTTTTGTTGCTTCTCAGCTAGATGGCCACTTGTTTATCTTCAAGCCTTTAAGACCCCAGATGCTCTATTTTTTGATAGACAGGCACCATCAGCTTTCTTCACCACATTTGCTTATGCACCTGGTTTGTCTTCAGCTATCGTGTCGGGAAGGTGAGCATCATGGAATGCCAGGTTAATAGAACAAAGTGTTCTTGCATTGAGGGAGTACTTGAGTAGAGGCCCAATGTCCATCTGCTACCTTAATACTAAACCTATAAATATATGCACATAGATATATTTCCCCATAGTCACATATAAATGTTTACAAATGTACATGCCTATATTTAGACCTCTATAAATGCCCTTTGCCTCCTAATTCTTTCCTCTATTTCCTTTTACTTTCCTCTTGACCCACTACCATGCCAACCCTCAATTGGGGTTCAGGAAATCCCCCCCGTTACATTGTCCGTGATCAAGCCCTACCAGGCCTCCTACACCCTCCTCGCCATCGATTTTAGATCACTTGTTGTCCCCTTGTCCCCGGGTTTGTTAACACCCACTTCCTTTCCCTCAGGGAGGTCTTTATCCCACAGGGAACCAGGTACAAAGCCATGTCAAGGACATGAGAATGAGTATTTTGTACAAAGCAGCATTCAATGAAAACAGAAAAGTGTGACTGGACTCAGAGTGTTCCAAGTCAAGCATCCACTTTGAGGGATCTAAACCCATTGAAGGTTTTCAAATAAATTATTAGATGACCTAATCCGTGTTTTATCAAAATAACTCTGGCATCAGTATGAGCAATGGCTTCACGCTAGTGAAAAACAGAGGCCTGGAGAAACAGTTAGGAAGCTGTTTCAATGGCCAAGGAACAGACAGTAAGGAGGGACTGAAGCCAGGGAGGAGGAAGGAAAAGAGTCTGAAGACATGGTTTCGTTGGGCAGATATGGACCGGAGAGTACGCCATCACAGGCCTTAGCTCACTCTTCTAACTGAAGGTTGGTCTGCATCACTAGACCAAATTGGTACTCCTACTATGTGATATAGACTTTTTGTTTGTTGGTAGGTACCATCGAGTCGGTTCTGACTCATCGCGACCCTATGTACGACAGAATACACAGCCACTGTACCAAAAAGAATGAGTCTACTTGGGTAAATCTGCTGCACAAGACTTTAAAGTGTTGAAAAGCAAAGATGTTACTTTGAGGACCAAGGTGCACCTGACCCAAGCCATGGTATTTTCATTTGCCTCATATGCATGTGAAAGTTGGGCATTGGAGAAGGAAGCTAGAAAAAGGATTGATGTACTTGAATTATGGTGATGGCAAAGAATATTGAAAGTAGCTAGACTGCCCGCAGAACACACAAATCTGTCTTGGAAGAAGCACGATCAGAATGCTCCTTTGGGGCAAGGATGATGGAACGTCATCTCACGTACTTTGACATGTTGTCAGGGAAGACCAGTCACTGGTGAAGAACATCATGCCTGGTAAAGTAGAGGGGCAGCAAGAAAAAGGAAGGCCCTGGAAAAGATTAACTGACACAGTGGCTGCAACAATTGGCTCAAAAATAACAATTGTGAGGATGGCACAGGACCGGGAAGTGTTTTGTTCTGTTGTACATGATGTCGTTATGAGTTAGAACTGACTTTGTGGTAGTTATATAATCTGTTGTCAATTTGAGAGGACTGAGAGTGAAGGGGTGGAGGTTAGCCTGTCGATCAGGTTGCAGCTTGATAATCCCATTTGGAGGCACTAAGGAGATAAAACAGTTTGCTGGAGGCAGGACGCAGGCTCACTCCCTGGGAGACATTGCAGCTCACAAGACACGTGGAGCTATGCTAGTGCCCTGAGCTAGAGAAGCCACATAGAGACCCCTGCCAGCACTGAGATGCTTATACCACCTCTGGATCTACAAGAATTTCTACCCACTGGCCTCTGATATTCCTGAATTTGGCATCATTGCATGTGTTTCATGAGTCTCAAGAGGAATTTATACATTGGTATCAGACATATGGGCCAATATCAGGCTTATGGACTTGATCTGGACTGGGCTGGGATGTTTTCTCAATATTCTTGTGTATAAAGTTCTTTCTTATACACATATGAGTGACTATGAATTTCTCTAGTCTACCCAGAATAACAGACTTGATGGCACCTAACAACAACAAAATCTATTATCTAACGAGTTAACACACTGAATCTGAGTGACAAGATAATAGATTGCTGTAGGCTTATTAAATGCTGAGCACATGCTACCCCTTGTAGCTGCCTTTTCCTTCAGCCTCAAAACACCCCTGTAAGACAGTACTATTATTAGCCCTATTCTGCAGGGGAAACTTGAAGTTTCGAGAAATTAATGACTTTGCCCAGGATTATTAGGTGAGTGTTCAAAGCCAGGAGTATCCAATGGCAAATTCCTTTCCTAACTGCAATGCAGTTCGACCTCTAAAAAAAGGACATATCAGAAATATGAATCTGGTTTCTGATTTGGACATCTGGGTAGAGCAGATGATGATTCATGAACAGAGTTGGAGGAGAAAGAGAAAGGTTGTGAGGGTTAGGTCATGGTTTATTAGCTCAGTTTATGACATATTGAGTTTGAAGTATTTGTGGAGCATCAAGATTGAGAAATGGAGGGATAAGAATAAACAGCTGAGCTGTTCCAGAGTTGAGTTTAATGGGAACGATGTGATGAAAGGGCAGGGGACTAGGAAGGAATTCTACCAAATTGGTTAGTCATATGCTCCAGGCCAGATATCAGAGGGACATGAAGCCAGAGGAGCCAACAGCCCACAAGGACACAGACTGAAGAGGTCAGTCAGGCCAAAGATATCTGATAGACTTGGGAAAGTAAGGAAGTGTACTAGAACTATAGCTATTGAGCATGCTAGGAGTGGAGCACTGTCCAAATGACAATATCCTATGACGTGGGTGGCTCTTGTTGCCATACTGCTGATCACGGGATAGTGTTCGTTAGATTGGTCAGCCAGGTGGACATTCACATTCCTTGGGATGACAACAGGAGAGAAAGGAAAAGTGAGTGGCCTGAATGTCGATCAAGTGATAACTGAAATAATTTTCAATTCAAAAGATAAATGGGTCTTGGCTAAGAGATGCTGAATGGTAGTCAGAAGACAGGCAGGAAACACTGAAATCTGTCTACCTAATGGTCTTGATCGAGAAGGGAGGGGACAAAGGAGGAGGTGTCTTAGAACACTCATGAGAGCCTGAGGCTTCTGTTTTGGTGAGAAGATGGGAAAGGTCTCCTAAAAGACACAAAATGAGCATTCCAGCGCTCTCGTGGCATCAGACAGGAGCTGATGAGTACACACAGACTGAGGTGGGTAAAGTCTGTGACCAACAAGACAAGATGGAAGAAGAAAAGCAAGATGCTCAGAAAGCTGTCCAGGACAAACGCTTAGATGAGGAAAGCTAAATGCATCACGTGTCTTTGATATGTAAAGATCAAAAGGACTTCATAAAATTTAAGACTATACCTTTATCTTTCAAAATACTTATTACCATGGTGACTCCTAAAACTTGATAATCAAGAATTCCTTTAAGTCATGCTAAAAAAATAATAATAATTTAAAGGCTTTGCTTATGCCTTATAAATAACTGAACTGAATAAATTCTATTTCTTAGATCTAAGACAATGAAATTATCTTGAGTTTCGGTTGAAAAAAAACAGTGAACTTCAGGTTGAAATGACTGGTGATAAGGGGTGGGGGGGGGGGGGAGGGAGGGGGGCATCCCTCTTGCAGCCTCACTGTCCCAGCTTCAGAGAGGAGAAAGCAACCACGGCATGACACCTGAAGAAGCAGATCAATGTTCAGTAAGGGAAACCAGATGACAAAAGCTAAAACAAAACCGTTAGGAGCCTCATTAAAATGGGAAGTGAGGATGTACCTTCCAAGACTAAGACCAGTGTGTACACTAATAACCTACTCAGAGCCAGAACAGGCTTCAGCAAACCAGGTGACACAGATTGAACTGAACGTAACAACTGAACCACCAGGAAGATTGTCGGTCAAAAATGCAAACATCTGCAGAAGCTAAATTGATGGGATGTGACAGGGAAGTAGAAAGACCAGTGTTTAAAAGATTTTAAAAATGAAAACAAGTCCTAGCTTCAGGACAGAGGCAGTACACCATGGTAGCATGAACCCCGCAAAGCCAGAGAGTCTGAGTCTTAGTATGAAGAAATCAAGAAGACTTGCTATAGAAAGAGGGAATTCAAGAGACAGTTCAGAAAGTCTTTCTTTTTTTTCTTTTTCTTTTAATCATTTTATTAGGGGCTCATACAACTCTTATCACAATCCATACATACATCAATTTTGTAAAGCACATTTGTACATTCATTGCCCTCATCACTCCCAAAACATTTGCTCTCCACTTAAGGCCCTGGCATCAGGTCCTCATTTTCTCCCCTCCCTCCCCGCTCCCCACTCCCTTGTGAACCCTTGATAATTTATAAATTATTATTTTGTCATATCTTGCCCTGTCCAACATCTCCCCCCACCCACCTCTCTGCTGTCCGTCCCCCAGGGAGGAGGTCACATGTAGATCCTTGTAATTGGTTCCCCCTGCCAACCCAATCTCCCTCTATACTCCCAGTATCACTACTTACACCACTGGTCCTGAAGGGATCATCTGTCCTGGATTCCCTGTGTTTCCAGTTCCTATCTGTACATCCTCTGGTCTAGCCAGATTTGTAAGGTAGAATTCGAATCATGATAGTGGGGGAGGGGGGAGGAAGCATTTAGGAACTAGAGGAAAGTTGCATTTTCCATCATTGCTACATCACACCCTGACTGGCTCTCTCATCCCCAAGACCCCTCTGCAACGGGATCTCCAGTGGCCTACAAATGGGCTCTGGGTCTCCACTCTGCACTCCCCACCTCATTCACTATGGTAAGATTTTTTTTTTGTTCTGATGATGCCTTACACCTGATCCCTTCGACACCTGGTTATCGCACAGGCTGGTGTGCTTCTTCCATGTGGGCTTTGTTGCTTCTAGCTAGATGGCTGCTTGTTTACCTTCAAGCCTGTAAGACCCCAGATGCTATATCTTTTGATAGCCGGGCACCATCAGCTTTCTTCACCACATTTGCTTATTCACCCGCTTTGTCTTCAGTGGTTGTGTCGGGAAGGTGAGCATCATAGAATGCCAATTTAATAGAAGAAAGTATTCTTGCATGGAGGGAGTACTTGAGTGGAGGCCCAATGTCCTTCTCCTACCTCAATACTAAACCTATAAAGATATGCACATAGATCTACTTCCCCATCCTCAGATATAAATATATTTGCATATGTACATGTTTTTATCTAGACCTCTATAAATGCCCTTTGCCTCCCAGCTCTTTCCTCTATTTCCCTTGACTTTCCTCCTGTCCCACTATCATGCTCAGTCGCCACCAGGGTTTCAGCAATTCCTCTTTGTTACATTACCCTTGATCATGCCCTACCAGGCCTCTCCCACACCCACCTCACCACCAATTTGGATCACTTGTTGTTCTCTTGTCCCTGGGTTTGCTGGCATACTGTCATCATTTTACCAAAAGAAGTGATATCGACTCAAGAGTTATTCATTCTCACGTATGCATTTACCTTAGTTGAAATTATTTCATAACTTCTTCCTAAAATCATACTGCCTCTTGTTTACATTCAGTGATTCAGGGAGCCAAGGGTGCCCCAATGTGATTCTGTTCAGGGAGAAAACTTAATTCTCATGGGATTGACCAAAGGTGTGTGCACATACATGTGCACAGATATACAAGCACACAACACATGTTGGCCAGCATACTTCATGGCATGCAGGTTATTTTCTAGGTGAACACCAAGGAGAAGGCAGATGTTGCTCCTTTTATCTCGTTCCAAAATAACAGCACAGATTATAACACAAAGCACATTTATGGCATAGAAGCCCCACTGTGCCCTGTCAGAGAATTCCAGGGCCCAACTGGAAAGCACTCATTTAAAAGATTTAGGTAGCAGCCCAGCAAACATTCTGATATCGTGACCTGGATGACAACTTCAACTTCCAAGTGCATTAAATTCCAAATATTCTTAGGACAAGAGAACTCAAAATGAAAATCATAAGACCCATATAAGCCAGAAAACATCCAGACTTGGGTAAGTACTAGTAAGTTTCTGAGATGGAAGACTTAAATACTTGACAATCACTTTGCCAGGTTTAACTTACAAACACCGTCGATGTAATCTTTCGCCAGGTTTGCATCTGTCAATACCCAGAGACCACATTCCTAGAAAGAATAATCATAATTTTTCTTTTAAAGTAAGCATTTAAAGGCTCTCTAAACTAGTATACTTGTCTTCCCCATTCCAGATTCATTCATGCTCATTTCTGAGAGCTGGGTACAAGTATGTGTGCAATCAGTCAAAATCTCTCTCTCTCTCTCTCTCTCATGCATATAATATCATTTTTAAGGCAAGAAAAGTAATATAAAGGAAGTTATTTCATTAATGACAACTCCATTCACTTCTCTAGTGCTGAATTTTCTACTGTCATTTAAAACCGAAAAGATAAATCTTTTTCCATTTCAATTTATACCAATATAACAAATTCTCCAGTAGCAAAAACATTTCATAATAGGTTATTTTGTAGAGATTATTTATTAAATTCAAAAAAGTTTGCAGTACTAAAAGATACTGCCATTTTATTTTATTTTCAAATACATAACAAATTAAACATACCTGAAATACTGAAAAAGAATTCATGAACATGCCTAAATAATATCCTGTGTTGTAAAGTTCCAATTCATGAGCCACCTAAGGGGAGAAAACATGCAAGAATTAATGGATTTTTAGTGGCCTTGTTCTGGCCACACTATCATTTTTTATTCAAGGGGGTTTCAAAGAGTTCGTGGACAACTTCCATTATTTTTTATTCCATGTTTCCACAACTCTTTGAAGACTCCATGTATGTGAGGGAAGGGACAGTCCACATGCTTATCATACCTGAAAAGGGCACAATTGAGAAGTAATAGATATATGAACACCTGTTCATGAGGCAATACACCAAAGTAGATTTCTTACTTAAGAAGAGAACCCATTATTCTGTTCAGCAATGGAGAGTCCCTAAGAAGTATAGACTTGAGTTTTACCCAGGAGGATAATAAGTGTCTCCGGGTTGACAAGACCAACATGCAGAGGCCAGCACTTTTGGCAGCAATAAATAGGTAAATTTCATAGAGATTATTAATAAAAATTCTGTAAAATGCCAATTACTTACTTTTTAATGAATACACAATTCACAAAAGACAACATGAGAATTACTAACAAACAGAAAAAATTCACCCTCATTGATAAAGCAAATTATAGCATCAATGACATAATTTTTCCATAATGAGATATTTTCATCTATCATATTATGGTATAATTTTTTAAGAAAAGCATTAAGACTCATGACATAGATTATGCAAACACATATTTCTTCTGGAAACTGGTCATAAAATCAATGATGAGATTTTTATAACAATTAAATGTGATGGTCCATATAAAATACTCACAAATAAGCATTCCTTTAAAGGTACAAAAATATCCAATAAACACATGAAGAAGTATGCAGCCTCATTAGTCATAAGAGAAATGCAAGTCAAGCCCATGAGGAGCTAGTCAAATCTACTGGGCTGGTTACAGTTAAAAAGACAGAACAAATACAGGTTTGACAAGCAGGTAAAGACCGTGGAACCCCCTCAACTGTCAGAAGAGAACATGACTGCAGCACTTTGGAGAAGGGTCCGTCCAGCAACAGCACAAACTGTTGGACATAGAGTTGCTGTACTGTCCAGCAAGGCCACTCCGTGGTCTATGCCCAGTGAAAATGAAAAGAAACATTCCCAAATATCCGTGTGCTCAGATGGTCATAGCAGCAGGACTTACAGTCACCAGACAGTGGAACTTCCCAAATGCCCATCAACAAGGAATGTCTAACTGAAATCCATGCAGGGGACATTATTTGGGGCCATAGAAAGAAATGAAATAGTGATACCTGCTACAGCACAGGTTAACTTTGAGAATGGGCTACATGGAACAAGTCAACCTCAAATGACCAACATAGTATAACCCCAACATATGTTTATCCAAAATGTCCTGGTGGCATAATGGTTATACATTGGGTTAGCAGTTCAAAAACACTGGCCACTCTGTGCGAGAAAGATGAGGCTTTATTAGCCTGTAAAGAGCTACAGGAAAACTGCAATTCCCCTTTTTTCAGGGTCTTGCCTTCCGTGACTGTAACCCTGACTAACTCCTTCCTTCATCAACCAAAGTAAAGGTTTCCCCTGTTGGCTTCAAAAGAGAAAAAGTGGGTCTCTGAAACTGTAACCCACAGGGGCACTTCTACTCTGCCCTTTAGGACTGCTCTGAGGCAGAAGGGACTCCGAAGCAGTGAGCTGAGTAAGACCAGAAAAGTCAAATTTAGACAGAAAACAGACCCATGACTGTCACTGGGAGAAGAGGGGGCACTGGGGCAGGGGGAGTGTTAGTGGCCACAGACCACAGAGTTTCTTTTGTGAGAAATGAAATGTTCTGAAATTGACTTCTGTGATGGCTGCACATATCTATGAATATAGTAAACGCCATAGAATTGTACAGTATGTAATTTTTCCTCAATAACACTATTTTTGTTGTTGTTCATGGTTTTGTAAGTGCTTAGCACAGTGCCTCCAAGCCCCAAAATAAAAATCCTCACTACCATCAAGTCAATACTGACTCATAGCAACCCTCTGTGGATTTCCAAAACTGTAACTGTTTACCATGGGGGGGTGGGAGGGGGGCAGAAAGCCCAGTCTTTCTCCCGAGGAGCTGCTGGTGGCCTCAAACTGCCAACCAGGAGGATCGCAGCCCAACGCATAATCACTACACCACATGGGCACCTATTAACACAGTGCCCAGCACCTAGGAAACTCTCTGTCCTTTTTAGATATTATACTATGAAACAGGCTTCTAAAACAATGTTAGTAATGTTAAGTACCTATGATGGGTTGAATACAAAGATGATATATACTTGCAACTAATTTTTTTTTTAATGTGCAAAACCATCAATACACTTTTCAGTATAGTGTTCCTACTGGAGCCCTGGTGGTGTACGGGATTGCAGGTGGGGCTTCCAGCAGCAAGGTCAGCAGTTCAAAAACGACCAGCTGCTCCTCAAGAGAAAGAGGAAGCCTTCTGCCGCTGTCAAGATTGACATTCTCAGAAATCCTCGGGGCAGGTCTACTCTTTCTATTCTGTCCTATAGGGTCTGTCGGAGTGGAGACAGGAGCTGGGGGAGTTGGGACAGAGGGAGGAAGAGAAGGAGAAGAAAGAAACAAGGTAAGACTAAAAAATTCAGATAGAACAGAACAGGGGCCAAAAAAATATCTTGGCTTTTCAGGGAAAATTGGAGATCAGGCTTCAAGTCCAAATCCTTCAAGGACATCCTGCCAACAAGGACCTGATGCAGCTGCTTTCTCTCTTTGCTGACAGATGCCCAAGCTGTGTGCTGTCAAACCCATTCTGACCCATAGAGGCTATACGACAAAGCAGAACTGCCCCCAGGCTTTCTTAGGCTGGAAGCACTGTAGGAGCACACCTCCAGGTCTTTTCTAAGTAGAGCAGCTAAGGGATTCAAAATGCCAGCCTTTCAGCTAGCACCTAAGCCCCTAACCATCGTGCTACAAACTATATGGACAAAACTCGATCTAGTGTCTAGCCGTTTCATCTTTGACATTTTTAAAATGTGTGTCAAACTGGAACTCAGTCATTCCATCTATAATCAGATGGAGAAGTCTTGAAACGCCATCAAAGGGCTGGAGATCTCTAACATGGAAAAGTGAGAAAAGAGCTGTCTGGTAGAAGAAGAACAAGGTTTGTACCACACAAAGAGGAGAGTTCTGGGATACAGATTAGCACACTATATTTCATTCACCGGCAGCTGAATGAAATACGCACACATCATAAAATGGGGGACTCTGCCAGCCCCAGACTGGAACCCCTAAGAAGGGCTAAAATTTCTCCGTGCCTCCCGTGCACCGCAGCTGCTGCCACACAAAGGACTTTCATGAATGGCTGAAAGAAGTAGGTGCTAGATCACCACATTAACAGAGAAGATTCTTATTGGGGTGCAAGTCTGAACTACCTCATAGGGAGGACCCACCCATACAAGACACTACCTCAGCGATTGTGTCCAGTGGCTCATGGTTGTCCACTTTACACTGAGGGTTACATGTTTCTGATAGTTACGCGTATTTGATTGATACAAGAATAAAACTTTGAGGCACACAGCAAACCATTTGTAAAGTCTAAATGTGAACAAAACAATCATAAAATGCTAACTAATGAAAAAAGAGAATAACAACAGTAATTCTTAAAAACACCTGGCTAATTTTTGTTATTGTTGTTAGCTTTTTTGACTCTTTGTTTTGTGTGTTTATCTATATTTGAAATCCAGGAAAGTTGAATCCATAGAGACAGTAACTGGATTAAGGGCTCCCTGGGGGTGCAGTAGGGGAGTTTGGAGGTATATGGGGAGCTAATGACCAAAAAAAGGTATAAAATTGATGGTGGTAGATAATGATGGCACAACACTTCTGGATATGATTGAACTGCTCAATTGGATATTTCGATTATGGCCCAATGAAACTGTTTACTAAAAAAACCTGGCTGCACATAAGTAATTGTTTTCTGAATGCTATTAATAACATAAGGATATGGCAGTCATTTGGGTAACTAGTTTGGCACTTCTTCCTCACTTACATTAGCAATAACTGCCAGACAAATTATGAAAATTCAGGATTAAAAACCATGAAAAGCTCTAAGAACTGGTTGGAAAAGGCAAAAACACGTTTCACAGTAACATTAAACACCGGCAACCACTGTTTCCCCCACGTTAACAACTCCTGCTACATCCACGGTAAGCAAGCCGAATGCCAAAACAGGCACCAAGAAGAAGAAGAAAGAATAAGAGAAAAATTCATAATGTTCTCAACAAACTGGCAAAAAGAGTTGGGCCAACTGCAGGCCGAGCCATGCATAATAAGCCAGGCGAGGAAAGCCTGGATTCCGGACACTGCCACCATCAACAAACCCGGGCAGAGCTGCGTCTGCTTGCGCTCAGGCGCGAACGGATGGCAAGATTCAGGAGGAAGCATCTATCGCACCAAGAAATCTGCCCTTTTCCCCGGCTCCATTTCCTTTACAAGGCGCTGACAAAACTGCAGCACACCCTAATAAGAAAGAGGAAGGCTGCTGTCTGAAATTTATTCCTGGAAAATTTAGTACACTTAAATGATTCCAAGAAATGCAAGCGCCTCTCGGCAGCGCACATAAATTTAGCAAGCAAAAAGAGATGCCAAAAGTAGAATCACAGACTCCTAATTTCATCCCCCAGAACCAATTTTGAAGAAACCGTAAAGGCAGGCAGCAGACTCGGGTGAGCTGAGCGGGGTGGGAAAATCTTGGAAAGAATGAAAGCTATCCTAAATTTGCAAAATGGGCGGAAGTGGGTGACTTCCGCTTGGGGCAGAAAACACTAGAGACAGCAGATGGGGGACCAGTGAAAGCAACAGTCTTTAAGTTCTGCCCTTTCTTCTCTCCAGGGGGCAGCCTAGGGGCAATCATTCCCTGCAACTTCTTGGCCCAAATCAGCACCAGAAGCCGCAGTCCAGACTACCCCGTGCAGGTGTTCCTACAATAACACAAGGCTGCACCTTTGCCCTTCTGGTGTGAAAAAGTACGGACATTCATTCCCCTCTCTCATTCCAAACCCGCAGGGCTGGTGGAGCAGAACCTAGGGAGAGTACCTCTTCCACGTGCTCCTTTTCTCCCATAAGAAGCAGCTAACAGGAAGTACCAAGAGTAGTTTTCTGGTCGCTGGGCTTAACCTTACAGTAGAGAATAAAAAGAAATAAAAGAAAGTGATGCAAATGTTAAAAATAGATCCTAAGTAATACTAGAAAACAATACAGCTTTCACCAGAAAGCAGCAAAATACAGAAGCTAAGCATTTAACTCAGAATTTTATAAAAGAACAACAAAGGAAATAATAAAAATAGAAATAACTAAATTAGGTAAGAAAAGAAGAAGGCAAAAATTAAGAAGATTAATAACTCAAAAGCTATCTCTTTTTTTTTTTTTTTTAAAGCTATCTCTTTTTAAAGGATCACTAAGATAGCTCTCTGGCCAGATTAATGAAGAGCGAGATCGACAAGGAGAAAGGTAGGAAGGAGGAAGGGAGGGAGAAGGGGAGTATACACGCTCAAGGTAACAATTAGAGGCTAATAAATTTGAAATGTGTGCTATACACACACATGTATAAATATCATTCCCAAGGTGGTATAAGAAGAAGTAGAGAAATCAAATAGACCAAAAAATTATATTTTAAAAACTGCAATGGTGGGCAAAGATTTCTCTTCAAATAAATCCCTGACCTAGAAGAATTTACCAAGTGAATTCAATCAAACAAACAAGAAACTGTTCGTTGCTATTTGACACAAGCTGTTTGTAAAGCCAGAAAAACAAGAAATCTACCCAGATCATTCGTGAGACCACTGTAATCTTGAGTCCAAAACTGGACAAGAAAATAGAAATACAGGCTCGTTTCACTTTTGAATGTAGACACAAAAAAGTCCTAAATTAAATATTAGCTACTCAAACTGAATAGTGCATTAAAAGCTACATTGGATAAAGTCAGGTATATGCAGGAAGCAAAATTATCAGAAGGCTGACTAATATAATCTACCATATTAATAAGCTAAAGAAGGAAAATTATACAGTTATCATCCGTTGTACATAAAAAAATGACTTAAAGTGTTCAGAATTTTATCATAAAACTCTAGGATCAAAAAAATAATTTCAGTGGTTACTTTTTTATACTAAAAACCTTCAGTAGGGAGGTGAAAAAAGTAAAATCCTCAATACACATTATACTTAATGATAACATTAGATGCCTTCTCTTAGGACTGAGAACAAAACAAATGAACATCGTCATGGTTACTGGCAGTTGTGACCAATGCTACATGGAAAGAAGAGGAATTAAAGAATAAGGACTGAGATGGAAAAAAAGAAATAACCATTATTTAAAGATGATGTGAGCTTACACGCACACACAAAAATGAAGAAATCAGTAGACAAACATTAAAAACCAATAAAAGAATGCAATAAAGTTGCTCATAAGATCACTTTATAAAACTTCATGTTTCTAGCAATAACTAGAAAATAAAATGCTTTAAAAGACCATCCAGATAGCAAAAAATATATAATGCACCTAACTTTTTCAAATGATAAATAAACCATGAATGATCTGAGATTTGCCACACCAAATGCGACCCTAGGTCCTCACTCTCCTCACTTTCAGGTGATGGGTGTCCATCATGGAGTGACAGTCCCAGAGATTCTTTTACAACAGAGACAAAAGGGTTGTTAAGGTCCAGAGAAAACAGGAGCTACTTCACAAGTCCTCCTAGCCCAGAATCTGAGCATTGGAAACGTAGTTCTTCTACGTGCCTCTCTCACCACAATGTTCTCAAAGAACAATTTTCAAGACATTGAGAAATTAAAAAAACAAACCTCACTGCCAGCTAGTCAATGCTGACTCATGGTAACCCCCTGTGGGTTTCTGAAACGGTAACAGTTTGAGGGACTAGAAAGCCCAGTCTGTCTCCAAAGGATTAGCTGGTGGTTTTGAACTCCTGACCATGCAGATCACAGCCCAATGTATAACCAGTATACCACCAGGGTTCAATCACCCTTGTATCAGGATGCAGTGAGATAAACTCTGAACTATAAGACTTTTGTACAGGCCTGTCTGGATACGACAGGCTGGATGAACAATCTGGAGGAGAAAACAACGGGACTGACAGTTCCGGGGGGACATGGGAGAGG